TGTTGCTGCCGATTCTACCCTTGGCCGGCGTGCTTTAGCAGCGACTGCCATGGGGAACACGCCGTACGGGAGCGAGAAGTAGCTGAATTGGATTACCAACATCTCACCCCATTATACCGACATCTCACCCTGCAACGTGTTGCAAAAAACAACATGAAGAACGAGAGAAAAAGCTCGGGAACCTCTGGAAGTGGAGTCGCCCTCTTGGGGGCCTCTTGGGCCGTCTTGGAACGGTTTGGGGAGCCTCTTGGGCGGTCCTTTAGCGCCGGAAGCACGAGACAGCGAGAATGCAAACAAACATTGAAAAATAACAATGAGCATCAACGAGTTTGCCTTATCGGGGCGCTCTTGGGCGGCATCTTAAAGGCCTCTTGGGGCGTCTTGGGGGCCTCTGGGGCAGTTGAAAACGCATCGTGCGTCGCCAGAGACCCCTGGACGGCGTCTTGGGGGTGTCTCGAGACCGTCTGGGGCCGCCGGGATTGCTGTCTGAGGGCTCCCCGGGGCGATTTTAGGCCTCCCACAGGCGGGCCCGGGCCCCGGGACCCACATTTGCGGTCGAGGTTCTGGCCCTCGGCCCCCGAGCCTGGTGCGCCGTTGTGTATATATATACCATGTATCACACACATATCGCTAGTAGGCTACATACGTACATCCTGCTCAGAGGTAAGAAACACCTTACGCGAAGAAAGCGGACTCATGTCCTATGGACTGGGACACGTTAAAATACAAGTGAACTGCGCTTGGAGGCCCCTGGGACATTTCAAACAAACTATGATTTGGGACTCGCGGCTCCTGGGAGACGTACAAAACACGAGTGAGTTGCCCCTCCATGTTCATGGGAACCTAAATTAGGCACACCCCTCACGCACGTCGTGAATGTTGGGCGCTCAGCTGACCCCCGAGATGACTGGGGCATCAATTCGGCACACCCCTCACGCACGTCGTCGTGCCCCATGGACCCTAGAAGGCCATTAGCTGGCCTCGAATATCGCCTGATCCCCCAAGGGGCGCAAAAACGCCCCCAAGAGACATTGCAACGATTGGTACCGACCCTCGTCGAGGCAGTACCCCTAACACCCACTGATTGCAAAAACTGCATGCAAGCTTCCCCCTGGGGGCCCGCCGTGACTCCCGCTTTGCGGACTCAACAGATACACCGCAAGAGGAGAGGGGAGCCATGAGTGAGGATGAAATACTGTTAGTTATGGCTGTCTGATAGACGTGCCAGTGTGAATACACACGTAGGTAAATAGAACAGATCACGGCGCTGGTGTCTCAAAGTTGCCAGAGGTGCGGGGAAGCCGAGGAGACGGCCCGCGGTCCTCGGCGCGCAGCTGCTGGCGCGCCTGGAACTGCTCACCCTTCTGGGAGCATGTTGCCTTCGGGCACGCGAGGGCAGCGAGAAGGGATGGGAGGAAGAGAGGAAGGGAGGAATGGAACACAGGGCGAGGAGGTGGGAGGAGGGAGGGAGGGGGGGCGGAGGAAGGAGGAACAACAGGGAGGAGAAGGAAGAGGAGGGATAGGGAAGGAGGAAGAGGAGGAGAGAGGAGGCAGATAAAGGAGGAATATGATGAGAAAGGAACGGCAGGGAGGAGGAGGAAGAGGAGGAGGAGGAGGAGGAGGAGGAGAAGAAAGATGGCGGGAAACGTAGAGAGGATGACGATGACGGATGGGGCGAATGAGGGAGGAGCGGGAAGCAAACTGGAGGAGGAAGGGGTGGATGGTCAAGAGGAGGAGCAGGATGAGCAGGAGGAGGAGGAGGAGGAGGAGCAGCGACAGCAAGTGGGGGCATGCGGAGGAGATAGAGGAGGCAGAGGAGGAGGAGCAGGAGGAGGGGCAGGGAGTGGGCAAGGATCACATAAGGGGCGTGAGGAGGAGGGAGGAGAGAGTGGCAGGGAGCATGAAGGAGCCGGGAAGCGGGGCAGGGCAAAGACGAAGAGAGAGGAGAGAGGAGGAGGAGGGAGGAGAGAGGAGGCGGAGCAGGAGGAGGAGGAAGGAGGATGAGGAGGAGGAGGAGGGACTGCCACGCGCCGCGCCACAGCCTGCCGGCGCCGGCTGCCGGGGCGCCAGGCCGCCGGGCTGCCGCTGGGCGCTGAGCAGCGCCGGGGGCTGCTGGGGCGAGGCGCTCTCCGGCTCGGGCGCTGCGCAGCCGGCGGGGCTGGCGCGGGCTGCCGGGCGCGGAGGCCACGCCGGGCGGCTCTCGAAGGAGCAGGAGGGCGAGCTGGGCGGGGGCGCCGGGCTGCCGCCAGAGCCGCCCGGGCCGTGGGCGGCGGCAGGCGGGCGCGGGGCAGGCGCGGCGGCCGCTGCCAGCAGCGCGGCGGGCGCCCGGCGCGAGCAGGCGGCGGCG